GTATTGTTGCCTCTCCTGCGTACATCTCCTGCTGGGAACTGGCCTGCAGGGAACCGGCCTGCACCCCAGACATGTGCTCTGACTGGGAATTGAACCGTGATCGTGTGGTTCGCAGGCCCGTGCTCAATCCACTGAGCTACACCAGCCAGGGCCTCTTTATCTTATTTTATTTTTTAAGATATTACATTTTATTTTTTAAGATATTACTTATTTCCTTTTTAGAGAGAGGGGAAGGGAGGAAGAAAAGGAGAGAAACATCAGTGTGTGGTTGCTTCTTGAGCGCCCCCTACTGGGGGCCTGGCTCCCAAGCCAGGCATGTGTCCTGACTGGGAATTGAACCATCAACCCTTGGTTTGCAGGTCAGTGCTCAATCCACTGAGCCACACCAGCCAGGACATCCTTTATTTATTGTCCATACATTGTGTTCTGAAACTTCTTGATATTTGCTAAACTGATGAATAAAAGGTGGTATCTTTGATATTTTAAATTTGCATTTCTTTTATATGAATCAAGTTGAAAATCTTGTGTTTAGATGCCATTTTTGTGTTCTTTTCTGAGACCGTTTATAAGTATTTGTCATTTTCATTACATGAAATTGGCCTTTTGTCTGTTATGGGTTATGACGATATCTACTTTGTTGTCTTTTGCTTTGCTTAAGTTGGCTTTTGCTGATTATTTTCAAGTTTTTGGCTTCAAATTTGTGGTTGGATTTTTTTATGGTCTGTGAATTTTGAACAGTTCATGGAATTTGTGTATAAAATTTAGTATTTAAGTAAACAAAATATCTAAACTGTTATTTTAAACTCTTAAAAGTGAAATATCGACCAGAATACAGTAATTATATTTCAAAATTACACATATGAAGCAAGTCTGTGAGTTTTACAGCTTATTTCTTAATAAATATGTAAAATATTAGATTAATTGCTGTTATAAGTAATAATGTATTATAATAAAAATATACAAAAGATACATTTGCACATTTTTGTAATTGATGTGCTTGATCTTTAAAATGTTTTTACAATAAAATTAAACAATAAAATATTGGTTTTTTAAGTATATTTTATTGATTATGTTATTACACTTGCCCCAGTTTTTTCCCTCTATATTCATTCCCTCTACCATATACTCCCCTATCCTCCAGCATTCCCCCCTAACCCTTTAGTTCCTGCCCATGGGTTGTACATACAAATTCTTTGGCTTCTCTATTTCCTATACTATTCTTACCATGACACTGTATATTTAGTATCTACTATTTATGCTTCTTATTCCCTGTACCTTTTTTTTAAAAAAAGACTTTATTTATTTATCTTTAGAGGGGAAAGAAAGGAGAGAGGGAGAGAAATATCAATGTATGGTTGCCTTTCATGCGTCCCCCACTGGGAACTGGCCTGCAACCCAGGCATGTGCCCTGATTGGGAATCAAACCATGATTGTTTGGTTCGAAGGCCCGCGCTCAATCCAGTGAGCTACACCAGCCTTTCCTGTACCTTTTTACCCCATTCTCCCTTCTCCCCCCTGATGATAATACCCCCTCTGATCTCCATTTCTACGATTCTATTCCTGTTATAATTGTTTGCTTAGATTTTGTTTTTGTTTTTTAGGTTCAGCTGTTGATAAATCTGACATTCTTGTCATTTTACTGTTCATAGTGTTTGATCTTCTTTTTCTTAGATAAGTCACTTTCACATTTCATATATATATATATAGTAAGGGCTTGGTGATGATGAACTCCTTTGACTTGACCTTATCTGGGAAGCACTTTATCTGCCCTTCCATTCTAAATGATAGCTTTGCTGAATAGGATAATCTTGGATATAGGTCCTTACTTTTCATGATTTGGAATACTTCTTTCTAGCCCCTTCTTGCCTGTAAGGTTTATTTTGAGAAATCCGCTAGCAGTCTGATGGGAACTCCTTTGAAGTTACCTGCCTCCTTTTCTCTTGCTGCTTCTAGGATTCTCTTCTTCTCTTTAATCTTGGTAATGTAAGTTTGATGTATCTTGGTGTGTTCCTCTTTGGGTCCAACTTCTTTGGGACTCTCTGGGCTTTCTGGACTTCTTGGAAGTCTTATTTTTTTATTTGCCAGATTAGGGAAGTTCTCCTTCATTACTTTTTCAAGTGAGTTTTCCATTTCTTGCTCTTCCTCTTCTCCTTCTGGCACCCCTATAATTCAGATGTTGGAGCATTTAAAGTTGTCCCAGAGATTCCTAAGCCTCTTCTCATTTTTTTGAATTCTTGTTTCTTCATTCTGTTCTTGCTGAATGTTTATTTCTTCCTTTTGCTCCAAATCATGGATTTGAGTCTCCCAGTTTCCTTCTCTTCACTGTTGGTTCCCTGTATGTATTTTTTTTATTGCACTTTGGGTAGCCTTCATTTCTTCCTTCATTTTGAGAATGTACTCAGTCATTTCTGTGAGCATCCTGATTGCCAGTGTTTTGAACTCTGCATCTGATAGGCTAGTTATCTGTTTGTTGCTTAGTTGCTTTTCTGGAGTTTTGATCTGTTCTTTCATCTGGGCCATGTTTCTTTGCTTCAGTGAAGCTATTGCGTTGTAAGGAGCAGAGCTTTAGGTATTCGGCAGGGTAGGCAACCTACATTGCTGTGTTGTGGTGCTGTAGGTGGGGAAGGGGTCTGAGAGGGAGCAGTGCTGCTTGCCTAGCTCTCGTCTGGCTTTCAGTCACTTCCTACGATACCCACAAGCATAACTCGCCCTTCTGATGCTAATTCCAGGGTGGGTGGTTTTGTGTTTGTTCTAGGATCCTGAGGCTCTCCAGCGTACTCTTCTGTTAGGACAGGAGTTTATTCCAATGCTGCAATTGCCAGAGGTTCTTAAAGCCAGTGATTTTTGAGGCTTTAGTGTCCTATGCTGGAACCCTGGGTTGTGGTTTCTGTCTCTCTCCCCAGTTGTTCCACCCAGTTCATCCACATGGAAATCTGGGACTGCCAGCCGCCGTCTCACCCACCTAGTACTCCAGCCACAGTGTTTCTGGTCATCCTTTCCACCCCAGCTGCCTGTCTCCACCCCTTCTATGGTCTGAATGAATGTTTCTTTCACCCCTTGGCTGTCAGATTTCCATATAGTTGGATTTTCTGGTTGTTATTGGTTGGTTTTTGTTTTTAAGTTTGTTGTCCTTTTTTTGGTTGTGTGAGGAGGCAACGTGTATTTATGTATGCCTCTATCTTGGCTGAATTTTTTTTTTTTTTTTAATGCACACTGATGTGATGACAGCAGTCACGATACACTAACAGAATAGTTTTGAATGAAGTTCAAGACAACTAAGCGCTACTAGAGTCATGTTAGGGAAGAAAACAAATGAACTTTTTGGCTAATTAGTGTAGTAACCACCTGGGCTTTTAAAATAAACACTAAGACTTTAAAAAATACAAACTCTATTATAACTTTTGTTACTAGATTATTTATGTAGGGTAATTTTTTACTATTGTCTCTACCTTTATTTTGTAGCTGAAACATTGTAGTCGGTATATACATGATTTATTTCCTTCACTCATCAAGAATTTGGATCCAGTACCACTTAGACATCTTCTCAATCTAGTTTCAGCTCTTGAGCCAAGTGTTCATACTGAACAGGTAATTTATTCAAAACATAATGATATTTATTTTAGTAATGTGAAAATTTATTTGTGAATCATATAATTTAACCTGTAGTTTATTATGGTTAGCATTTCAATTTGGGAAAGGATATTAAATTTATTACAATGTGGCCTAAAACCTCTAATTTCAACCTTTCTCTTTTTTGTTTTTTAAAGACATTGTACTTGGCATCGATGTTAATTAAAGCATTATGGAATAATGCACTAGCAGCTAAGGCTCAGCTATCTAAACAGAGTTCTTTTGCATCTTTATTAAATACCAATCTTCCCATTGGAAATAAGAAAGGTTAGTAAAGTATAATGTATTTTTTTAAGATATCCAAGGTTTTATAGCTCAAATTTGAAGTAGTTTCTGCTAAGTAGTTCAGTTCAACCTTAATTTCAAAATAAGTTTGAGATGGGCACTATAGTGGTTTTGAAAGTGTAAATAAATTGGGCTTAGTTCATCTTTTTTACTCTCATTTCAGGTGTTTTGTATGTGCTTTTTACATGTATGAAGCTTTTTAGGACTCTCTAAAACTTTATCAACTTTACCCCAATTTTTGTCACCTGGTACTGTATACCACTCTTTTCTTAGGCTTTTCTGTGCAGGCACCCACAACTACTACTGCAGGTGGTGGGGACTTAATTACTGCAGATTTCCCTGCCTGTATCTTGTTGATTATGTAATAAGAACAACTGATATGCTGTCCCAAATAAGCTGAGTCATTTAGAATATTTCCCTCCTGTTTTTTCCTTTTCCTTCAGAGGAAGAAGAGCTGAGAAGAGCAGCTCCATCACCTTGTAAGTTGGGTCTTAGAAGTGCATGGCAAGATGACTTATACTCATGTTGATGATAGTCATTAGTTAATTGATTTTATATATTTACATCAGAGTCATTAAGTTCATTTTGAGCAGAAGATGTAAATCTTTAACTAGTTACCCAGCTCACCCTTTTTGTTTAAACTATTAGTATCTCGACTTAATTGATCCTCCTTGACAAATGTTATATTTCTGGCTACTTAGCATGAAGCTTTGGTAAATCAAAGAATTAAAGAATTGTGTCATTCCAATAGGTCTGTGTTAATATACATTAGAAATAAAACAAAAAAAATCTATTTAATATAGGGTCACCTGCAGCTAGTCCTCAGAGCAGTGATAACAGTGATACCCATCAAAGTGGAGGCAGTGACATTGAAATGGATGAGCAGCTTATTAATAGAACCAAACATGTGCAACAGCGACTTTCAGACACAGAGGTATGAAAAATGTCTGCCCCACCCCCCTCTCCCAACCCAAAGTGATTTTTGGATTTCTGCCATGTGTACCTTTGAACTAGGAATATAAACATGATCTGTGTTTAGGTCTGATCTCTCTTTTAAGAGTCCCTCAATAAAAGGACCTCTTTTATGGCACAGTGAACATCCAAGTGTACTTTACAGTTCCCTTGGATTTGACTCTGTGCTAGAGAAACATCTGTCCTTTTCTTCTGCATTGAAAGAACTATTTATCCTTTCAAATGTATTCAGAAAGCATATTATTAAAAAAAAGACCTCTTTTATTGAGGTCCTTTACTTTGAGTTTTTTTAATTCCATTTTGTATTGTTCAGAGGAATGAGTCAGGACTATGGCAGCCTTTTAAAAAGTATACTGTGTTAATATCAGTTATTTTTTTTCTTATTAGTGTAAATATTTAGTTAAATCTATTTGTTTCTAAATACAGGAATCCATGCAGGGAAGTTCTGATGAAACTGCCAACAGCGGTGAAGATGGAAGCAGTGGTCCTGGTAGCAGCAGTGGGCATAGTGATGGATCTAGCAATGAAGTGAATTCTAGCCATGCAAGCCAATCAGCTGGGAGCCCTGGCAGTGAGGTACACTCAGAAGACATTGCAGATATTGAAGCCCTTAAAGAAGAAGATGAAGATGACGATCATGGTCATAATCCTTCTAAAAGTAGTTGTGGTACAGATCTTCGGAACAGAAAGTTAGAAAGTCAAGCAGGCATTTGCTTAGGGGATTCACAAGGTCCATCAGAAAGAAGTGGGACAAGCAATGGAACAGGAAAAGACCTGGTTTTTAACACTGAGTCACTGCCGTCAGTAGATAATCGAATACGAATGCTAGATGCCTGTTCACACTCTGAAGACCCAGAACATGATATTTCAGGGGAAATGAATGCTGCTCATATAGCACAAGCATCTCAGGAATCATGTATTACACGCACTGGGGACTTTCTTGGGGAAACCATTGGAAATGAATTATTTAATTGTCGGCAGTTCATTGGTCCACAGCATCACCACCATCACCACCACCATCATCACCACCATGATGGGTAAGTCTGCTAAAAATAAAAACGTAAAACTTGTATTTCCTTCAGGGAATAATTTTCTTCAGGGAAGTAATTCTAGCTTGTATTTATTCATTTGTAATTATTATAAATGAATAGATCAGTGCTGTTCAATAGAGCTATAATGTAAACTATAAGCACATACCAAAAATGTAGGAATTTTAATTTTCTGTTGGGTATATTTTAAAAAGCAAAATGAAGCAGGGGAGATTAATTTTAATTTTAAATTTTACTTAAAGCAATAGTATCTACAATATTTTATACTTATAATACATCTCAGTTTAGACAAGGCACCAACAAAATTATTTTTGCCCTGATTGCTGTGGCTCAGTGGATTGGACATCATCTTGCACACCAAAAGGATACGGGTTAGATTCTGGGTCAGGGCACATGGCCTGGGTTTGCAGGAGGTGTGGGAGGCAACTGACAGATGTCCTTCTCTCTCTTCCTCCCTTCCCGTCTCCCTAAAATGAATAAATAAAATCTTAAAAAGTGTTTTTTTCCTTTTAAATTACAGTTGACTTACAACATTATATTAGTTTCAGGTGTAGAACCTTTGATTAGGCGTTTAATAACTTAAGAAGTGATCATCCTGATAAACCCATTTGACACCATATATAGTTATTAAAATATTATTAACTATATTCCCTATGCTGTTACTTTACAGCCCTGTGACTATTCTATAACTACCAATTTGTACTTCTAAATCCCTTTACTGTTTTCACCCATCTCCCCAACCCCTCTCCTGTCTAGCAACCATCAAAATGTTTTCTATATCTATGAGTCCATTTCTTTTCTGTTTATTTTGCTTTTTAGATTCCACATATAAGTGAAATCATTTGGCATTTGTCTTTTCTCTTTCTGACTTAATTCACTTAGCATAATACCTCCTAGATCCATCCATGTTGTTATGGATGGCAAGATTTCTTTTTTTATGACTGAAGCCCAGTGGTACAGCCTCCCTGGTCACCTGAGATGGGCACTCCAGGTGTGCCCCAGTGTGGGCTGCATTCACTTCCCTGTGTAGTTGAGTCTTGATTGCTGTTGGCATGTCACTGGAACGGATTGACCCCCAGGCCATTCAGCTGCAAGGACTGGCTGTGCCTATAGCAAAGGAGCTGCTGTGCAGGGGCTGACCCCATAGAGCAGTACTTGCTTCAGTGGGGCCTTGGTGCTAGCTGAGTCTGCTCCTTGAGTTGTTGCTTGTAGAGGTGGGTGAGTTGTAATCCAGTGTGGTCTGAAACTATCCACTGGGTACACTGGTTCTGAGGCCTCCCAAGAGGTGCAGGGGCAGCCACACCTGTGTCATGGTCAGGCCACCCAGTGTGAGCTACAGAGCAATCTTCAGATAGCTGCTTCCTTGTGCTTGTATGGGATACAGAGGGCCTGATGCTGTTTGAGAAATTTCATGAAAGCTTGAAACATGATCCAAGGGAGGCTGTTTGTATGGAACAGCCACTGGAAATGGCTTGGGGTCCAAAAGTTGCATGGGTCAGGATCTCAGGTGGGTGGAACAGTGTTAGCCTAGTTGATGGAGACTCAGATATGGCATTGGCCTGCTAGCTTTGTGGGTGGAGGGCTCTGCAAAGGAATAACAGCCTCTGCCAACACTTCTGTCTAGGAGAAAGCTGCTCCTCCAGCCTTTGTCCTGAAGCCAGACAATTCAGTTCCTCCCCATTTGTTCCTGGCACCTTTTCAGCAGTTCCCCCAGCAGTGGAGCTCATAGAGAGTCTGAGTGAGTCAGTGTGCAAGCCCTTTAAGAGAAAAGCCCAAGAATCCAGGAGTCCTTTTGTCTCACTCAGCCATAGTCTTTCCTGGTTTTTACAGCCAGAAGTTATGGAGATTTCTCTTGCTGTCACTGGAATCCTGGGCTGGGGGTACTGATTGATTGGGACTGGGATCTTTTTTTTAATGCTTTTGAAGTCCTCACTAAGTTCCTTGAGCATCATTATAACCTGTATTTTGAACTCTGCATCTGATAGATTGCTTATCTCCATTGCATTTGGCTCTTTTTCTGGTTTTGATCTGTACTGTCATTTGGGCCATGTTTTTTGTCTCCTCATTTTGGCATCCTCCCTGTGTTTGTGTCTTTGTATTAGATAGAGCTGCTTTGAGTCCATGTCTTGGTAGCGTGGTCTACTTTAGTAGATGTCCTGTAGGGTCCAATGACACTGCCTTCTCTATCACCCAAGCTGGGTACTCTGGGTGCACTCTTCATGTCTACTGAGTACACCCTACCCTCCTCTTTTAGTTGATCCTTGGATGCTGTTGGCAGATCAACAAGAGGGGGTTACCTAGGCTAGTCAGTTGCAGAGATTGGCTGTGACCACTTACCACCAACCTTCACCCACTGTGAAGGATGAGCTATGCAGGGGCAGGGTGTGGTGCTCTGACATGGTTTGCAGCTGTCCAGTGGTTGTGCTTGCCATGCAGTTTCTGGGTGGTGGAGGTCATGGTCAGCCCCTACCTGTGTTTTGCTCTGGGCCATCCTGCCTCAGCCATAAAGCAGTCTGAGATGGCTGCCAATTGTGCTGGGCTTGGGGATTCCCAGGCAAAGCCAAGCTGTGAATCTAGGGTAGTGGATGCTAGTGCCAGGCCTGGGGCTCACTGAGGCCAGCTGTTGCTTGTTTGAAATGATTTTGGAAGTTGTAAAGCATGAGCCAAGACCAGCCATTCGTATGGAAAAGTAGTTTGGGTGGGCTCATAAGTTGGGTGGGGCAGAGCCTCTGGGGATTTCCCAGGAGGGTCAAACAAAGCCAGGTGGATGGATGGAGACTCAGATATTGCAACAGCTTACCAGCTCTTTGGGTGGGGGGTTTAGAAAAGAGACAATGTTCTCTGCTTGCCTTGATGCTAGACATTTCAGTTTCTCCCTGTATGTGACTAGTGCCTTTCAAGATGCTTACCCAGTGCTGTATCTCAGAAGGATTGAGTATGAGTGAGTCCATGTGTGGGTTCTTAAACGGAACCACTTGGGGCTCTAGAAGTTTCTTCCACCAACTCGATCCCTGCTGGTTTTTGTAACCAGAAGTTATGGGGACTTACCTTCCTGGCACTGGAACCTTGGGCTGGGGTCCAGGTGTGGAGCTGGAATTCCTTGCTACTGAAATACCCCTCCCGAATTTTTATTCACCACACGTGAGTGAGAGAGAGTCCAGCCCATTACACATCTGCACTCCTCATACCAGTCTGGATGGATGTGGTTTTTTAAACTCTGTAGTTGTCAGACTTCTATTCCACTCTATTTCTGATGGTTCTGAGTTATGGTTGTTCTGTTTTTTAGTTGTAATTTTGATGTGGTTGTGGGAGGAGGCAAGCCATGTGTGCCTATACTGCCATCTTGAACAGAAGTCCTCTTGTCCTGATTTTTAATCACTATATGTGGGTGCGAGACCAGCACATTTCCATTTTTCTATCCAAGCCTGAAAGTGGCTTCTTTTTTATATCTTACTATTCAGCAGATTTCTGGTGTTTTGGATATTGGTTATTCTATAATTTAGTTGTCATTTTGATGTGGTTGTGGAAGGTTCGGAGTACTGCATTTACCTACTCTGCCATCTTGACCAGAATCTAGACCAGTCACTTCTTATGTGTACAGTGGCCACATGTAGTTTAGTGGCTATCATTGGATAACACAGATCTGTATCTTCGACTGCTTATAATAATTTCTTATGAGCAGATATAAAACTGCTTGTGGAAATTTCCATGAAAGTGTGATTGTGAAAAGGGAAATTTTACACATATTATAATTTTAGGGTGTTTTAATAAAAGGATGAAGCTTTGCCCTGGTTTGTGTGGCTCAGTGGATTGAGTGCCCCCCAAGAACCAAAAGGTAGGTCACCAGATTAATTCCTAGTCAGGGCACATGCCCTGGTTGCAGGCTAGGTCCCCAATTGGGGTTGTGTGAGAGCTAACCAATTGATGTATCTTAACGCACATCAATGCTCTCTCCCTCTCTTTCTCATTCCCTTCCCCCCTCTCTCAAGAAATAAATACAATCTTTAAAAAAAAAAAAAAAAGGATAAACCCTCCATGTAAAACTTTTTATCTGTGAAATGCACCTATGGTATTTAATAGTAAGTGATTTTCTCATTAGTGTTCTGATATTAGGCAAAGTACTTAATTTTTCTGTTTATCATTTTCTCATCTATAAAATAGAACAATACTGTCAATACTTAGGTCATTTACTTA